ATCTGTTCTTTGCTTTTATGAGGTGGTCTTATACATTTAATAAAGAAATATGAATTCTAAGGGCATACGGCTTCTCTCACCTAAAGATCTAGAAGGCTTTGCAGAGTATATCATGTATCACACCACAGCTTACGCAAAGTAAAACCCCAAGTGATGTAAGTTTTGGAAAGGGGGGGTTGAGAGTTTTAAGTGGTGAGATGGGTGACTTCAGCCTGTACAAGAAAAAAGGTGCCCATTTGGTCCCTTAAAATCCCCCAACCCTAAAAATGGAAGCAGGCAAGCAAGCAAAAAACCCATCACTCACATTGGGGGCTGCAAGAGGAACTCTAACAGGTTGGATGCAGCCCTGAGTCTTACAATCTGGATTTATTTGGTAATGATGGTGCCACTGAAACAACTGTTCATATTTTGGTGTTTGCTTCTTTTTATTTTTCTTTTCCTAACAGCCCTTATTGGCAACTTGGAATATCATCACAGCTCTTCAAGTGTGAATTTGAGAATCAGTGGGCTATCCTATTTGGTAAAATTGAACAAATATAACAAATATAATGTAATATAATACATATTACCCAAGAAGTCAGAATACTTCCAGTGCTTTTGGAATGAAATGTAAAACGCCCAAAACCCTTGGTTAGGAACTGAAGCAATTTCCAGAATTATTTCTTAAGAGCTCGATTCGGCTGTGGGAAGAGAGCATGCCAGAAACATTCCAGTTTGCTTTGGGATCAGATGATCTGATTTGGGAGGGGTTAGCCATGGCATTTTGCAATAAAATATTTTCTTCTCTTTATGATTAGTGTGATTGACAAACAACGATATTTAGTCAGACTAGGAGAGGGGAGCAGTTTCCATATTCTTTAAAAATGTCAATTTCTCAAAGTGTAGGAAAGTTGTCACAGCTTTGGAAGCACATCTGGTAGAATTATCAATATGGATTTTCTCCCTCCCCTCTCCAATTAACTCTGCTAAAATGCAAACAGTTATGAAACTAAGATGCGTAGCAAAGTTGCGGTGGACAATGTTTAAAAAACTTGCTAAAACATTTAAGTTTTTTTTTTCCTCCCAAACTTAACTGGTTACTATATAACATTGCCATTTTTTCCCCCTTTTCTTATAGACATTGGAATTAAGAGTAGTAATGGAAAGCTTTTTCTCCAGCTTTAATCATGGCTTAAGTTCTAAATGCAATCTAAAAATGGTTTCTTGATTAATATAATTCGTGTATCTTCCACCAAGCAATGGAAAACAGAGGATAGGATTTTGTGACAATGACATTCTTGAATTTCCTATTCTGAACTTATTAGATCATAAAACCAGTTTCACAGGACTGGATGTTTTTGCCTTTTTCCCCACTTTTCTCTTTCTGGAAGAGTTAAGTATGCAATAAGTTATGGTAAGCAGGAAGTAGGAGCTTCTCTGGAGACTGGATTTTGATGATACTCAGCATCAGAAACAATTGAGAAATAAACATGTTTAGCTTATATGAAAATGAATCTTGGTGAAATCAGTGGTGCTTAAATACAATTAAACTCAAGGCATAATAATACGTTGTTCTTTGATCTCTCACTTAATGGTCCAAAGTCTATTTTGTTGTACAATTTTACAAGTTAATTGGAAAGTTAATTCTAAGAGTCTATAGTTTTTACCAGTTGATTTTAGCTTTCTGCCCTTTTCATTCAAAGCAGTGACAGGAAAATATGTGACCCTACAGCTTACAGAATGTTTCTGAGTATTAATATAATTTGACTGACAGTTTCATATTAACATGCAAAAAGAAAAAGAAATATAAAACATCTGTGTCACACTACTACAGAACAATTGTAATTTATGGCATTAATTGATTATGAATGCTAGAAAAAGGTTTCATTAAATTCCTATGTAGAATCATGCTTTTTTACTATTTCATTATGTGGTTATTTTCCATTACATGTACACTGCCTATAGTCTAGAGCAGTGTTTCTCAACCTTGGCAACTTGAAGATGTGTGGACTTCAACTCCCAGAATTCCCCAGCCACCAACACTGCTTTAGACACTATGGATTTAATAGTTCTGTGTCACTATTTTAGCTAATAATTTGAGTCAGGCTAAAATTAGAATATCTAGATTGAAATGTTTCATGGGAACCATATTCATCAAGAAGGCATGTGAGAATGTGATTGTCAATAGCTAACAGTGAAGATCTATGCATTGTCATGCACACATCTGCAAACCCATATATTCTTATAGTGTACTCAAGTGCGTATCATTTTGATGACTGAAGGACAGGAACTAGCCTGTATAACTCCAGTCTGCTTTCACTAGTTTAACTGTCTAAGGGGCTTGAATCAAGCCTTAAATTCCAGACAGTTCTGTTATTCTTCTTGTGACTAAATCATAAACAGGAAGATTGTTTTTGTAATACTGTAGCTAGAAAGATACATATAACTCTCCAGATATTCAAGCAACGGAAATTGGAAAGTAACCCTACTGAAATGGATGTAAGCATTCTTCCCAATTTCAATAAACTTTTTGACAAGACTGTTACTCCCTTACTGCTCTAATGAGCAATAGGTTTTTAAAGTTACTATCATTTTAATCTCTGGGCTGTCCTGTGGCACACCTTAGTTTTACCAAAGTGGTAGAGGCATAAAGATGGAAACAGACATTCAGATGGCCTTGGGAACAGAAAAAAAAGTGACTTGTTACTTTTTAAAATACATGAATTACAAGCCACTTACACATTAGCTAAGATTTTTACAGGATGTAAAACAAAGCTGGAGCAGAAATTTTATCTGAACATCTACATTTTTCTGATTAGTTAATTCTCTGGATGCATTTGGAAAGCAAATGTGTAACACCTTTGAAATCATAGCAGGTGCTAGCATCCAGATATATTAAATCGGAACCTTTGTTTCTGCTTTGAAAGCTGTTAGGCATATATAATTATTAATTGGTAAGTTGTTGCAATTTGATCCTGAATCACAGAAGTTGATGTTTTGGTACAGTTCAAATCTGAAATTAGCGGGAAAGATACATGAGCTAAACAGATGTTTATTATTTTAAATCAGTTGATCTTTAACGGTGGTTTTAAATATTTTGAGAGACCGTCCCTCGAGTTTGAGTTGCGTTTAATATATGCTCAGCAGTATATACAACTGAAATACATACGAACTATCCAATATTCTTTAGCAGCTTGGAGGCACCTTTAGCTCCATTAAGAAATGCCATGTTTGAATGGAAACCAACAATTCAATTTTATAAGATATTGAAAAATGAAATGAATTAATATTAGTTAAATTGTATCCATTTTTATTTTATGCAAGCCTCAACATTACGAGTTTATATCACCTTCTTCACATATACACCTTGATCTTCATTTTTATTATTCCACAGTGAACACTGTTTGGCATAGTAGTGGGGAGACACAGTTGTTGCATTTTCCAGTATTACTGATGGGAGATTAAAAGGTGCTTGAAATCCTCCAGTTTTCCCAAGAAATACAATACTGGCCCTTCATAAAACAGATGAGCAGCTCATCTAGCATGGTAATACTAGCGCTGAGTAGAGTGCATCTTGAACTCTGCTCTCCAAGGTCTAGGTCTCCAGTAGAAATTGGTTCCATCCCTGATATTTGATATTTTATCAAGTGGAGACGTAAGTGGTTAGATCTGAATCCAAATACATGAAAGGATGCTTTCTCAGTCAGTGCTATGTCCCTCCATTTCAGCAGTGAGAAAGGATGTAAGGCTGGCAAATGACCTTCCTCTATTTGGGAACAGAATCAGCAGCAGACCAGACATGATTGGTTAGGAGAATTTCATGGCCTGATCTTCTTGTACTGTGTCCATGCACTTGTTCTTTTCATGATTAAACAAATGGTATATATCTTGGATACGACAATTTCCCCCAACCATTGTTTTCTATCAGATCAAAAATGTATATTAATTGCCATAGTTCTGAGAAGACATCTGCATACAAGTGATTATAAAATATTTTGTAAATCAAGTCACTGGAGTTGATTAGAGTCAGGCAATGCCTCAGTCAAATAAAATAAATAAGAATGTGTATATATATGATAGACATTTTCCTCCACTAATTGTTAGTCATTCTTCACCAGACATTTTTTGCTGGTCAGAAAATAGCACAATAGATGATTCATGCAGCCTTTACAAAAATGAGAACTATGTGGTCAAACTACTCAAGTTTACTTTTGTCAAAATGATTGATCTTGTGAGTGTTGACATGACATAAGAGAGTAGGATCATTACCTCCAGGTTTGATTTCAAAAGATTGCCATGTTTTAGTAAGAGGCAGAATCATATGAAAATGGGAATTCTTCCATTAGGATAATTTTAATCCTTTCTCCTTTTACTATAATGTTACCCTTGGTCATTTTTATAACACATCTGTGAACAGCCACTTTCCTTTGATAACTCCCTATAGACTTATTAATAATTAGAATTGTAATGAATCTCAATAAAAATGCCTGAGGAAAAGGGAGAGAGCTATGAAAGCATAGCATCATGAATATCTCTGGAAAATATGGACTGTATACATTACATGACTCCTAGAGCTATGTCCGTGTTTATCTCAGGAAGGTGAGCTGTGTTTGCAACTGCATTAGCTACCAGTGTCAAAGGTTTCTAGCTAATTAATACTCCAGTATTCATCTTTGCATTTTCTTTATGCTAAATACTTGTAATGTGTATGAAGACAACTGCTTCTGTTAATCACACATGCAAAATCAGTAGCTCCCTTTACAAACACTGGAATTTTGTCTTGTCTTAGAACAAAAAATTCCAAGATAATAAAAGTTAGTAACTGCTTCACCTTAAACTTGTAGAAATCTAGTCTTAACCAAACTCCCTCCCCCAAAACTTAATTTACAGTAAATTTTATTGTGAACAAATTATCTTTATACCCACAAAACACTTCTTAATAGTTTTTCAAATCATTTTTATGAAGCAAAATTTGTCTCACACTTGCCAATGTTAAATTGACTTTCCTTGCTTCTTTCCAGGGTGAAGAGACAAAAGCATTGAATCTTGTTCTTCATCGTGATTCAGGATCTCTTGGATTTAATATAATTGGCGGTCGGCCATGTATGGTATGTTGATAGTCAAATTATATTTCTTATGACTGTTTGATGGAAAATATGTTTTTAGAAAAAGTAATAAAATGTATAAAGCTATAATTCTGAACACAGGAAAAAAGACCAATTAAAGAGCAAGCGTGATTCAACATAACTAAGTATAGGTAGTCCTTATTTAAAGACCACAATTGGGACTGGCAACTTGGTCATTAAGTGAAGCAGTCACTTATGATCTTACTTTAGCTTTCCTTTGCTTTCCAGACCTGCGAAGATCGTGAAGTTACTTTTTCATCACCGTTGTAACTGCTAACGGTTGCTGTATGAGGCAGTCACTAAAAGAGGACTATCTGTAGGATTTACCCCAAATAAACATGATATGTGATGCAACATATTTTGCCCTGAAAAATATTGTCCCTATGCATACATTTCATTGGGGAAAAAAATACTGTTTTCTTAAGATGGTAGCATGTGTTTTCTTCTTATGATGTTTCTTAGAAATGCTTGGTTATATAGGAATGAAGTACGTAGTGCTGATGCAGATTCAACCTGTCAAATCAAGCATGAACTTATTTTCATTACCTCAGAAAATGTGAGTTCTTTAGGCAAGTGCTGTACTTTTACATTGATATGTTCCTAATGGGGTTTTTATTATGTTTTAATTTATTTCTATTTAAAAGCCACTTTTGATATTGAATTTGAATACCATTCTTTGTTGAAAAGATAAATAAATTCCATAAGTACCTACTAGTGTGGTATATTTAAAGTGGGGAGAGCCAGATTCATGTCTACCCTTAGCCATAGATATTCTCTGGATGATTATCTCTCAGTTCAGCTTACTTGCTGAGAGAAAAATTGGAGAAGGGAGTGCTGTATACATTGCTTTTTTTGCTCCTGAAGGAAAGACAGACTGTACATCTAATAAATAAATGAATTCTTTAGAGCGGTCTCTCCTAATCTGATGTTCTCCATATGTTGAACTTCCCATGCCCATTGAGAATTCTGGGAGTTGAAGTCCTTCACATCTGGAAAACAGCAGGTTGGCAAAGACTGCTGTAAGACTTGAACAGTTTCTTCAAAAGCATGTTTAAAAAGTGGATTTATGATTAGAAGCAATACCAACAGGTAGAGATGTGCAAGGCTCAAAAGGCACTTTATGTGGATAGAAGTCTTGATTGAAAACCTCTCCGATCCTCTTCATTGAGATGTTCAGTACATTTTTCTAGTGCTTCTGGCAACTTGATGCAGTCAAGCAAAACAAAGTGATTTATCTTAATGCTTCAGCTAGAAGCATTGAGGTGCCTCGCTTTTTTGAGTGGAAAAAAAGTGCTTTATATCATATCACTCCTTCCTTCTAACTCAAGGCACCTCCCCAAAGTGGCATTGCTTTGCATAAGCCTAGTAACTAGTGTATTCCATGGGCTTTTAGGGGCTAGAAAGACACTTGCATTGCTGAGTATGAATTGTGAGGGTTTTTTTTTTTTTTTGAAAAGGTAATATATAACCCTTCTCTTATTATAATATGCTTAAATACAAAATTGTAAAGCGGTTGGAAGAAACAATATGTTACATTCCAGATTTCCAATAGGATATTCATAAGAAACAAAAACAATTTTAGGGCATCTGGATATTTTGCTTTAGTTATTTGTTTGTTTATGTTTCTGCTGAAAAAGACTATTGATAGGATGACACTTGATTTTCACTATGATTTTTGCTTGTAAACTTCTGTAATAGTTTTAAATACAGGTAGTCCTTGGGTTAAGCACGAGTTCCGTTCCTAAGTCTTTCTTTAACTCGAATTTGTATGTAAGTCGGAACTGGTACTTGGGCTGCCTATTACTAAAAATGTCAGACGGCATTCTCTTTCCTTAAGCCAATGAACCACTGAAGCCGCACAATATTTTCATGAATTGCTAAAAACAGTCTGTATATTAAAAATGCACAGCTTCAGCAGCTCATTGTCTCAAGGAAGGAGAACACTGCCTGCCATTTTTAGTAATAGGCAGCCCATTCGTAAGTATGACTTGTCTGTAAGTCAGATATTCTTAACCCAGAGACTGCCTGTATCAGCAAAATATTTTACGTGTATGGGCTGCCATCTCATAGCAAACTTTGCAGACTCAATGCTATCTGACAATATGTGCACGTATAGAGATAATTTTGCTTGTAAGAACACTTCTGCCTTACTTAAGGAATTCAGTGAAACTATTTCCTCAATTTCTCTCAGGTGTTCATGCACAGGATTGTAGCCTGAACTGTAAAAATGCTATCAGGAGGTTTGTTACTGATTTAGATTTCCATTTTTCAACTAAATGGAAGTATAGCTTGTACAGAGCCTTTAACTTGGATATTACAAACAACATTTATATAAAGTTCTGTTACCAGCTTTAGATTTTAAAAACATTATGAAAGGCTACTCTCCTTGTATTAAAAAAGGGATGTATGAAAGCTTAAAATAAAAAAAACTACTTACAGTACTGGTAAAATAATGGGGCTAAGCCAAATTTTCTCCTAACTCTCCCACTATGTATTAGTGTGATGGTAAAAGTAGTCATTGTTTACAGTGTGACTGCTGATTCATTGTCATGTTATTACAGAATGCCTGCTTAAGTTCTCCATCATAGATTCCAGCCAGTCAGCAATGAATTGGATGTTTCCATGCTATGGAGTAGTATTCCAATGCCAGCATCATTGAAGCAAATGAGCCCCATTAAAAGAAAAGGCAATGCCTTCTGTTAATCAGAATAGTGAGCCAAATGAGTATTGTCATTTCCTCTCATCATATTACAATGATACATATTGGAGAAGCTCTTAATAATCCGCAAAATGTTTACAGATGAACCCTGGAAGTAGAACTTCTAAAAATGTAAGGCCCTAATTTACTTTTATGTGTTACTCATGTAAAGAGCTTCCACTTGATGAAAGGGTGATGCAGCTAGACTGCTGGCCCTGCTCTGCGAGTCCCTGTGTTACGTATGTAGATGTGGGCAGGGTCGAGCCTCTATGTTCAGGCATCTTGGGAACTAGCCTATTGTATTTCTTCCCCGGTGCTTATCAGGAGCATCCAGTGTAGCTACTCCAAATTAGACACAACCTGCTTGTTGCTGCTTTTAGCATTTACCTAGAGAAGATCTATGTTCCCATGCTGCTGGCCAATAATGTCCTCTAGGATCCACATGGCATTCCATGTTTAAATGGTGAGCATTGCAATGACTTCAGTTTCCTTCACTCTTGACTGCTGTTTGCATTCTTTTTCTTTGCTTTGCTTAAAGGACAATCAAGATGGCCCAACTAGTGAAGGAATCTTTGTCTCTAAAATAGCCGACAGCGGGCCTGCTGCCAAAGAAGGAGGACTCCAGATTCATGACCAGATTATTGAAGTAAGAACACTTGGTCCAATCTATTTTCAACAGGCATATCTCCTTCCTCGCTCTTTGGTATAAAGTATAATATGCATTTCCAGCCCAGGAGAGTGGGGACATGGGCAGCAGAGGCTAGAAGAGAAGGCAGCTGGAACATGCTTGACTGTTTCAGTGCTGACCTTCTGGGCTTTAGGTATAGTTGTTATCTAATTATAGAAACCAGATTATGGAAGGTATGTGCTTGTCCTGGTATTTTGAAGGGGTAGCATCTACTTGGTATGCTGCAGCTATTTCTTCTGAAGCTGATGGAGACATGCAAGTGATTTAGTTAAAACCATATGTGAGGGCAAATATCTGTTGTGAAAACTGTGACTTTATTTAGCTTGGTTTCTAAGACATTTTTTTTCAAGAAGACCAAAATGTTTCAAACAGATGATAAAGGACAGACCCCTCTCTTAAGTGAGCACGAGAGCACATTTTGGTGAGCCTTCCTGAGAAATCCCTTAAAGAGTTACTGGGTGCTCTTTTTGGACTTTTTCCCATTTTCCTAATGTCTTGACTGCTTGAAAAAATAGTTCCTATTGTTGAGTTCCTTTCTTAAGATGATTTCAAAGCTCTTTTTTATTTTTTGAAGGAGAAAGTTAAATTTATGGAACAAGAAGCAATTAATTGCAAATCGCATTCCATTGTTGATTATCTTAGGGCCTGAATTTGTTCATTTTTTAAATTGTTGTAAAAGTGGAATCATTACTGGACTATTGTTCGTGTGTTTTTTTTAAAAAAAAAGATAAGCTTTGCTTTTGTTGCCAAAGATAGCATAGAGCAGCCAGTTTCTCCAAGTTGTTGAATTCCTTTGCTCTTATGTTTTGAAAATGTGCAATAAGCAGCTGTAATGGATTTTCTGTTGTCAGAAAGCAATACATATATATAGTTGCTGTTTTCTGCATGAATAAAATAAATCACTTTATTTATTTATTTATTTAGTACTTACTTTTGTTAGAAGTAGAACAGGTTGCGCTTGGAAGCCTGTTTAAAGATGCAGTGGAGGGTGAAGAGAAAATAGATTATAAAATAATCTCTGATTTAAAGTTCTAAAAAGATGATCTGGAAGAGAAAGAAAAAATATTCATGCAGTCCTTACTGACTTTTATAGAACTTATAAAGCTTATAAAGACTTCAACCTCTCTCTCTAAAAAAAAAAAATGGATTTCATGGTTTTGGTTTTCTAGAAGAATGCCATGTTTAGATCCAAAGAGGGCAGAGACGCTTCAGGTGCAGCACAGGCACCATTGCTGACTTCTTACCAGGAACCTGAAGAGCCATGCCCTTTCCTGGACCTGCATTCTGGTCACGTGGTCTCAGGAAAAAGAAAGCACTCCTTTGATTTCAAGAGGCCTTGCAGAGGCAATGGAAAGATATAACCACATGTTGCTACCAAGGACGAGGGACAGCTCCTTATAGAGGCTGCCAAGAGGTACAGAACATATGCCCATTCCAGATCTGAAGCCCCTTTGCCCTATTTGGATTTCAACTTGTACATTTCTAGTTATATCTTACTAAAGCAGCATGTAACAAAATAATGTTATCTAAGACATTTTGTCATAACTTGAAGTAGGATGGAGAGACAGTATTGTGGCAACTAGGAGTGATTATATCTTTTATTGTTATGATCTTGTCCCACTTTTCTGACTAATCATGAAAAAAATCACTTAAGATCAATATATATTATTAGTTATCTCTCTGAGTGTATATTTGTGTGTGTCAATTCTAATCTGATTATATATAGAACTGAAATGTGGATTATATGAACTGATTATATATAGAACTGAAACGTGGATAGAGAATGGTTCCTTTTTACTGTGGTCCCAATAACAACTTTTATCTCGAGGGAAGAAGTAATCCCTCCTTTATCATGATTCAGATTAGAACCCTTCTGCTACTTTTAAAAAACAAAATAAAGCACACTCCAAATGTGCCATGTAATTTCCACCAGCGGTCTGTTTATGGTCTAAATATAAAGGTACAATATGCCCAGACAGTGGAATTAGTTGCTATCTAAATACAGAATAAATTTGGTAGAATAAGAGGGAGAGACCAGATACTTAAAAGAACTATCATTGATTTCCTTGGTGTATCCAGTCTGCACAAATCTTCAGATTTCAAAAGCTCTGGATGCCTATACAAGTTATCTTCAGGCATTGTGATAGTCTTAGTAGGATGAGGAAGCCTGTGATGGTTGAACGTTTGAACTGTATTTTATCTCTTTAATGTCCAAACACATTAACGTTATCTGGACTCCCTCACACAATCCAGTCTTAATGTCTGAGAGGCAAAGATATATTTCAAAGGTGACCTTGTCCTGGTGGAAAGAAGTAGAAGAGACAAACAGTGGTGTCACACTATAGTTATTAATCAGTAGACAAGGGTCTCTTCCACTGAGGAATTGAGCATTATTATTTTATATTTATTGATCTGGGCATCAGTTTGATTACTGTAACTAGTAAGGTGGAGAGCATTCTGTTCTGTAGAACAGTAAGGATTGCTATCTTTTAAACATTTACACTGCAATTCATCCTGAGCTACCACAAACTGTGTCAGTTCATTTAGGTTTCATTGAATACATGGAGATTATGTATGCTGATGTGGGATGATCATAAACTTTGGTGATATCTGTGGATTTTACATTCTTCTTTAACAAAAATTAAAACAGGGCTACATAAACCAGAGGGTAGGATGGGGTAAGAGGAGTGGGTGCGTCTGCTAGCTCGTTCATGCTCTGAAAGATTAAATTGGTTGTCAAGAACAATTCACTATGGGAAGATTTGAAAAGGAACCAAAAGCAATGTTTTGGGAGACCTACCTTGAGTAATGTGACTAGATTTTCTGCAGCCCCATTGTATATACTCATATTGATATGACTCACTCAAAAAGCTGTGAGACAATTCCCAAACTCTAAGTTGATTGGAAAGAACTTGACCTGGAGCAAAGAAGCTTGGTATCCGAGCTGGAAGGTGTCAGGATTCTCTATGCTGGAGAAGAAATCTGATTCCACGGAACATGACTGAGCTCTGAGTCTAAACCAGGCATTACTTATTTTATGCAGTAGCAAAGTAAACACAGAACTACAAAAATTCTGAAGATGGGATCTAATCTAGAAGGTATTTACTGGTGAAATAACCAGACATTGCAAAAAATTATCTGAGAGTGATTCTTTTTCCAAAAGTACTTATTCCCAAAGTGGTGCAGAAACTAGACTCTGCAAAAATGTAGGCAAGGATGAAATGGTCTGAGAAGCAGTTGAGGGGGGAGGCGATTACAAGCAATATAGTGTACTTAATATGTGTTCTTCAGATCAACCCTGTATGTTGAATAGAATACATGGCAACCCTCATGAAACCTGTTAGTAGAATTATAGAGTTAGAAGTCTGGTTTTGAGATCTGGGTAGGGGATACCAGCTCTGAAAATGGAAGTAATACCGTGTTTCACAGAGTTACATGATGTATGAGGCTGATTAGCAGGAATCAAAAATGCCTCCTTACATATCAGTGTTGTATTCTCATTAAATATTTTATGTTTATTTCATGATCTGGAAAAAATAGCAGTGTGAAAGATTGTCCTTGAGCTATTAACAGTGTTTGCAAAAAGTGCAGGATGCTTACATCTCAGCTAAAATCAGGATGTTGCAAACTGGCAGATGATGAAACAGAAAAATAATAGGTTTATAACAAGAAAAATCTGTAGGCCTGAGTGAGAACAGGATAACTTTTTTTGCTCTCGGTTTGACCACTCTTAAATATTCCTTCACTTTGACTTTTGAAGTAAAAAACAGAAAGAAAAAAGAGGTTTTGGTAGACTTTATTTAACAAGCAAATGGGAACATTATGATCCTTCAGGCAGTAGCCAACACAAAAAAGAAGAGCTGATCTATTAAATATGAATTTCAAAACAAGTGCTGGTCATATTCAGCACCTCAGTTCTAAATATACAAGTAGGATAGAGCACCTATCTTGTAAAATACTTTAGATATTAAATGTAGTAGTCAAGCTCTAGCTGGGTACCTTTCAGAGATAAGCAAAATTCCATTTCATGCTGTTCTTAATAGAGAATTGATGGTGTGTTGATGAGCTGTGAGCCAGGAGCATGTAAGTTTCACAAGATTTTGAAACAGGTTCCCTCCCAGTGATTCTAAATGAAAAAAGAAACAGAGATAAACAAGATGCTGAGAATATCTAATGTTCTATGTCTTTGTGAGAGTTTTGAGGAACAGAGTAAATTGGAAATAGTTATCAAGCATAGCAGAAGATCAAACCTGTAAAAAACAAGCTGGCCTTTGAAAAAAATCTTACCAAATGAAAGAGACGTTTGTGGTAATTTTTAAGTGTGGTGCTATGAAACATACCATCTGTTTGCTACCACTTCTATCTTTAGTATAAATTATTAGTGGCCAAAGGCCCAAACAGTTTGTAGATTGGATATTAGTGAAGAGTTATGTTGCTCTTTATTTCCAATCAAAAGTGTACTTGGAATTTAAGTATTTTAATTTTTAAGGGTATGTTTATTTGTCATCATTTCCTTTGTTACTAATATTCAGTCTGAATCATGTTGCCCATATAGCTGAAGTAGTATAAGAAGCACAAGAAATATTGGATATTGGAAAATTTGTGTGGAAGGAAATATTGGTAAAATTATGGCCTTCAGGCAGGAATGTTGAACAGGAATACAGGTAGTCCTCAACTTATGACCACAGTTGGGACTGGAATTTCCATCGCTAAGAGATGTGGTTGCTAAGTGAGTCATGGCCAATTTTGTGACCTTTTTGCTATGTTCGTTAAATGAATCATATGCTCGTTAAGTGAATCCAGCTTCCCCCATTTATTTTCCTTGTTGGGAGCTAGTTGGAAAGGTCTCAAATGGTGATCACGTGACCCTGGAACACTGTGATTATTGTAAATACATGTCAGTTGCCAAGCACCCAAATTTTGATCACACGACCGTGGGGATGCTGCAGTGGTCATCA